CCCCACCCCACCCCCAGCACTGTTTAAGGAATTCCTTACAGTTGTGGTGATTTCTTGTGAAGGTGGTTTCAGATTGGGTCCTACTCTTGGTTTAGGGAACCACTGTTTTTTTATGGTATCTACATTTATCTTACGTAGCGCTCAAAATTTAAGTTATCTTTTATTCCACATTTACCCAGGCTAAATTAATTTTAATGTGTGCTAACATAATGATATATATTATATATGGCACTTCAGGAGACAGTAGGATATCAGACTTCAGTCCGTAATATAGAGGCTGCAACTCTTAAAACATCAGGAATTATCCTAACCTATTGTTCAGGAATTCCCTACTTCTCCTTTCTTGAAAAAAATTATCTAGGAGCTATCTTTGAAGCAATAAAAAAATCCATGTTTTGTTTTGAAAATGGCTATTTAGTGTTGTTTTATGGCTATTTATTTACATGTTATTTTCCAGGGTATATAGTTGCTGTATATAAGCATGTTTATTATGCTTGGGGTTATTCAGGGAATACTAGAGAAGAGAAAAGATAGTTAGCTACCAGATTTGGGATCAAGCAGTAGGACAGAAATCTAAGACCAATAGATAGAAATTACTTGCAAACAGAACATTATGTGTTCTGTTTGATATTTAGGCAAAGAAACCAGCTTCTACCATTTATTTTGAAGGCACTAACTACTTGCCAAGGTGTGGATATATAATACAGTTGACCCTTGGACAACCGGGGCTTGAACTGTGTGGGTCCACTTAATACGTGGATGTTTTTGATAAATACGGACTACAGTACTGCACAATCCATGGTTGGTTGAATCTGCGGATGCAGAGCCACAGGTAATGGGGGGCCAACTCTGAAGTTAGAGGTGGATTTTCCACTGCAAGGAGGTCGGGGAGCCAAGCCCCACATTGTTCAAGGGTCAGCTGAAGTTGGCCCTCCCTTTCGACATGTTTTGCATCCATGGATAAAGAGGCCTTACTCTTTTATCACCATTTTATATAAAGGACTTGAGCATCCCTGAAGATTGGTATCCTTGGGGGCCTTAAAACCAGTTCCCCATGGATACCGAGGGATGACTATATATGCTGAAGGTTCCCTATCTGCAAAAGGAAAATAATAATGGTACCTTCCTCTTAGAGTTTGAAAATAAGGATTAAATGAAGTACTGCATGAGGAGTGCTTTTAATAGTGCCTCCCCCATGTAAGCCTCAAAGTAAGTGTGTTCATTTACCTGATGAAGGCCATCATTTTTTCTTTCCTTTTCAATTCAAGGTTTTACTTGTATATGGATTGGCGTTCATGGTTATCCTTCCAGTTGTTGTGGTAAGTTCCAGCTCTTTTTATTAACATTTTTTAGGGAAGGGAATCGGTGCATGCTTTGGAGTCTCCTTATAAGATTGTAATTTGTATTAGAATATAATCCATTAATCCTTGAATTTTAAGAATCTTATATTCAGTTATACTTTAAAGGTCTTCTAAAGGTGACATCTCTTTAGTATGTTAAAATGAATCTCCTCCTGATCCAAAAATTACACACAAATGAGATAGTACAGATGTATTTAGAATTTAAAATGAAAATCTTCCATTACCACCTCCCCCAATGCATTGCTAGCCACTATGCATTTCTCTGTCAGAGATAATCACTGCTAAGTTTGCTTACTTTTCAGATATTTTTCTATGCATTATGTATATATACATGTGCACATTTTTTAAAAAATGTGATCTTACCATATGTATTGTTCTGTGACTTTTTTTGCTTCATATAGGGGTACAACATGTAGAACAACCTCATTTTTAAAAACAGTTGCATAGTACCTCAATATGGAGGTACCATAAAGTTTATGATTTTATTGTTTATTGCTCTTATGACTGGTGGTATTCTTACTGATCTTACGGTTCCTTTGGGTCCCATAGTGAGGCTAACAATTAACCTGTCTTGCCTTCTTCATAGGATTGTTGTGTGAGAATCCACTTGTGTGGAATAATGTGAATGAAAGTAGTATATCAACTATACAATTGCTTCTACGCTTATTTGTCAAATATTTATTGAAGACATGCTATGTGTGAGGAACCAGCTTGTTGCTTATAGCAGTGGGTTGTTTCATTCCTATTTTGTCTTTAAACAATTTCTAGCTGAAACTTAAATGTTTTAATCATATATATGTAATGAGGTAGGTTGGTGTTTAGGCCTCAGGCAGCATAAATATTTACCAAATAAATCATTTGAAATATGTAACAAAGCCATTTGTTCTAAAGAGCAGGTCTTTTTATTGGTTTATGAACATTTAGAAAATTTGACCATTCTGCTTCAAAGTTAACATTTATCATGGTTTTTATGCTTTATTTCTGGTTTAATTTTGTGTTTTAGGGCTCTTGGTGGTATCGCTCAATACGCTATAGTGGAGACCAGATTCTAATACGCACAACACAGATTTATACATATTTTGTTTATAAAACCCGAAATATGGATATGAAACGTAAGTAAATTTAAGTAACTGTGATGTTAGATTATTTTCTGAGTCATTTATGTAGAGTTGATATATATTCAACTGGAGAAATTCCATTTAATAGTTTTAGGGATATTCAGTTCATTATAGCTAAAGCTGGAGGAAAATGCTAACACCCTTTATCATATGTCTTAATCTGTAGTTCTGTTATTCCCATTTTACTCAGCTATATGTATGTATCAATACATATTTTTTTCCCCTCCAGAAATTTTACGGTAAAACTTGTGGGCTAATGTTGTAATAATACCAGCTAAGATTTCTTGAGTATTTGTCATTGCCAGGCATTGCTAGCCACTATGCATGTATTAACTCATTTAATCTTTGTATGCCCCCATAAATAAGTGCTGTTTTTAAGCACATTTTATAGATGAAGAAACTGAGCCCAAGGATACACAGTAAGTGACAGAGCTAGGATGGAACTCAGGTAGTGTGGTTCCCAAGCCCTAAACCAGTACATATATAAAGCTTTGTTTAGCTGGTGGGTTTGGTTATATATCCTTGGTTTTAGCATTGGCACCATTTATATAGCTGTTGTTTTCATTCAAACATTTGAGGGTAGTAATAGCTCACACACATTACTATGCTGACTGTGTGTCAGGCACATATGAAGAAACCGAGGCCCACAGAGAGGTGAAGAATATTGTTCTAGGTCATTCAGCTACGCACTTAACCTCTGTACCGTCCTGCTTTTTGTGAGGATGGTGCATGTATTTTCTGCTGTAAGATTGATGACTATAGTGCCAGTCATTAAAGAACTTGTATAGGCTAACTAGAGTAACGCTAATATATGTGACCTCACATCATGTGTATTTCAAGGAACACTATTCCTACAAAACCCTCCAGAGTTCCATAATAAAAATTTCTGCAAATTACAGTATATTTTAGTTTACTCAAGGCTCTGAGGAGTCATGAAGTGAAGAAACCTGAAACTCTTTTTAACTCTTATTTCTCAGCTTTATTTAGCCATGGAGTCCCCCCTCCCCACCCTTTTTTTGTTTTTACAAAGCAGTTAGTAACATCACATAGTAACATCACATTTTCCTACTATAAATTTCTGTGGAACACATGCTTAGGTCTAGGAACAGATGCTATTTGTAGTGATTTTAATGCACCTAGTTGCTTCTGGGCCCTTAATTTGATGTGTATTTCTATTTACTTGTGATAGGTAATATTGCACACATTTTAAAAAGTGAGACGTTTCTTTTATTATGAGAGAGATTAATGCTTATTGATAGTGGAGTTCAGATGATTTTAGCATTGTGTGTGATTGGAAAACTGCCTCACTCTAGGATTAATCAAGTATCATGGGAGGCGGATTAATGGGTGAGCAAATTTATTTTTCTTCATATTTCTTTTGTTTTCTTAGGTCTTATCATGGTCTTGGCTGGAGCCTCTGAATTTGATCCTCAGTATAACAAGGATGCCACAAGCAGACCAACAGATAATATTCTAATACCTCAGGTTAGGCCTGTCTCCCAAATTCCTTGATAAACATTTAAGTATTTAAGGTTAATGCTTTTTTAAGTATACATTTTTAAATAATTATTTTATTTACTCTAGCTAATCAGAGAAATTGGCAGCATTAATTTAAAGAAGAATGAGCCGCCACTTACCTGCCCATATAGCCTGAAGGCCAGAGTTCTTTTACTGTCTCATCTTGCTAGAATGAAAATTCCTGAGACCCTTGAAGAAGGTATTTGTGATTCTAATATCTGTAGGGTTTTAGTGGTACAGAAGAGGTGGATTTAATTAGACCTCGTGGTGCAGTGTTTTTTTGTCACTGTTCTTTTTTGCTCAATCAGATAATTACTCAAGGACCTTTTAAAAACAAATCTATATGCTACATACATAATTCACAAATTCTTTGAAGGTATTAGTAAGTCAGATGTTTTGGCAAATGTTAAAATGTTGTATTTCAAGGTGAGAGAATACTCTCTATGAAAAATGTTAAGTCAGTTGCAGATTATACAATAATTCCTGATGGCTTTTAAAAAGGATTTTGTAAGCCTTTTGGGGCAAGAAAAACATGGATTTTCACAACAGATGTCTCAGTCACCGCCACCAGTACCACCATCATATTCCAGCAATAGTTACCAATGAAGTGTCTGTTTAATCTTTATTTAAAGCTTCATAAGTACTTGAAGCCATCTATTCTACTTAAAAGAAAAGCAGTGGATTGGGACAGTGGTGTTTCCAGGGATGTCATGAATTTGAGTGTCATCTTTTCACTTGCATTATTTCAATTGGAAGTTTTAAAAGAAAGTTATTATCCTTAGGGAATTTCTTTCTGAATGAGCCAACCCTCACCCCCAATTTAAGCCAATAATGCAATCAAATGCCTTTGAAAACAAGGTCAGTTGATGCTCAGTGATTAATGATAGGATAGGCTGCTTATGATGGAATCAAGGAGCGCTATTTAGGCATTGTTTATTGAAGCTGCAAGTTAACTAGTAATTCTGTTCCTAATGTTCTGTACAGATATGAAGCCATCTCCATTTTTACCAATTATCTTAGAATCAGGGAACAGATTTTTTTTTAGGTTGAGTAGCAACCCCAATGGATGATCTTAATGGTTAACTATTATATGCAGTATAAATGAAAGTGTCTGTCTCCCTCCTCCTTCTCCTATCCTCCTCTCTCCATTTGGTTGACATTTATTCTCAGTCTTAGTCTTTGGACTTATCCATAATTATAGGAATTTAGGTACACAAGAAGAAGAATTTTGAAGTTCTTAAATTAGTAAGATTATGATTAAATTTAAGATTAAGGCTATTTCCAAAAAAAAAGGTAGGGAGTAATTTATAAAGCCCAAGACCATAATATTAAAAGTTTGCCTTTGAAACATCTAATTTGAGGTAGGGTTTTCTGATTGATTTTTGACATAGTGCTGCCGAGGAGAAACTATTGTAATATTTTGTAATATTCTGAGGTCATGTGAAAAATGTGTGTGACAGCTTAAATTTAGCATTTGTCTTGGACTACAGGTGATAAAGGTGTTTTAATCATAAAAGAAGAATGATTTGTTTCAGGTGTTTTATTGTTTTGCAGATCAGCAATTTATGCTGAAAAAATGCCCTGCCCTACTTCAAGAAATGGTTAATGTAATCTGCCAACTAATAATAATGGCCCGGAGCCGTGAAGGTGAGGAGGAAGCATAATTATGTTGTAGTTTTTCTTGCAAGCACATATAGATTACACTTCATAGTTTTAAGATTTTTGGGTGCTTAGTATAATTCTGTCTGTAAGGTGAATCAGTTTTCCCAGTTTTGTTCATGATTTTTCTTATTTCTTTCCTGTATTTTTCATTATGTAAAGTATGGTGACTTATGTTTTATGAATTTAATTTTTCATTGTTTTATTGTTATTTATTGTTTGCAAAGATTTAAAATACCCTTTTCCTTCCTCTGAGTAGTTTTAGAATTAGGTTAACAATGAGTTTGAAGTATTTCTTTAAGTGATGTGATGATGATTCATCTGACATGTAGTGTTTTTTACATAATGGAAAAAAGAACCGAGGGAGTTTATTTATGGTCAGTAATGGAAAGAGAGACCCTTAAAAAAGAGATACTGGTTGTGTTTTGTTGTTATGGATGATGTCAGTTTTTGGCATGACATCAGTATGTGCATTTGACCAAGTTTGTGTATTTTCTGTGTCTTACCCAGTAACTTTTAAAGGAAATTCAACACTGTGATCGTAAAATTTGAGGTGTTAAGGATGTTCACATGAATTTGTTTTTGTGATGAATTGCATACTCCTGAACATATAAAAAGTCCAGACCTGTTTTTTGCTTTTCTTCTGTTCTTTCTAAGAAAGGGAGTTTCGTGCTCCAACTTTGGCATCCCTGGAAAACTGCATGAAGCTTTCCCAGATGGCTGTGCAAGGCCTTCAGCAGTTTAAGTCTCCCCTTCTGCAGCTCCCTCACATTGAAGAAGACAATCTTAGAAGGGTTTCTAATCATAAAAAGGTAATTTGCTACTTTAAAATTAGTTTTAAGCAGTTTGTCCTGTCACTTAAAGGTAACATGAATGAAAATTTTTCTAGAAATGGTTACTGTGAACTTCTTAGATTTACAGTGTTTTAAACATTCTAAAACTATCCCTCAAGTGATTCTGTTAATACTTTCTTGATTAGGTAGCTGTTTTATAATATTTTACTACTGTAGTGGTTTACTTTGGGGGTCAGTGCATTTTAGCAGTCAACACTGTCTTTGTTCTTTATGTTGCCAAAATAAACATACTAAGTAAAAATGCACTGTATACTTTCCATTTATTTCATTCGTGGCTTAAAGGTTGGGCAATAGTTTATTGGTTGAGTCTGAACAAAAAAAATCAAGCATTCAAAAAATAAGTAGATCAAATACAGATAATTCTTATTTAGAAAATACAATCTGTATATAGATTATGATAATGAATCTTAAGATATTTCAGAAATGTAATATAAATGAAAACTTGAGGAAATATAAGAAAAAGTGGAATGAAATTGTAAGTTTGGTAGATTTTGAACATTACTTTGTATATATTGATATTAGACAAAGTAGGCAGAAGATAGACATTGGATTTGATAGTGTTAAGGTAGAACTAATAAATATATATTAGAAATTTGCATCAGAGTTCTCTCCTTTCGAGTGTGTTACTCTTATAAATTTGATTACATTTTAAGTCATAATTGTAAACTTCAGAATTCAAAAGCAGGTATTTCACGTGCCTCATGAGCTAATCCCTATGGGTGAAAGTAAAAATTAATAACTGGCACCAAATACTCAGAAATTAAAAAACCCTCTCCTGAGTATCCATTTAGCCAGGCTGGGTTTTACTGCAATAACAGATAGCTGTATTTAGAAAATAACAAAAATGAGAGTATTGCATAGTAAAACTTAAGCATGCATGCAGCTATTACTTGGACATAAATTCATACTCTTAAAGGTTTTTAATCATTAAAATTAAAAATAAAGGTCTGCAAACTGAACAAATCAAATGACAGTCATTCTTGCTTGGGTCAAGAGTTTATATGAATGTTATTATTTTTTTCCTCTAACTTTATTTTTTTCTAATTAAAAAAAGTAGCTGTGTATTAACTTTGTAATAAAAAAAATTCTTAAATTTCCTTGGAGAAAAAGGCCATGAAATGCAGTGGAGTTGTATTTTCTGCTTTGAAATGTATATAATCTTAACATTTTTCTAAAAGTTTTTGGACTTTGTTTTGCTAAACATGCTAATAATTTTCCTTTTATGTAAAGTTATATGACTTTGGGATTTGTTTTCTTTCTCTCTTTTTAAATTTAGTACAAAATTAAGACTATCCAGGATTTGGTGAGTTTAAAAGAATCAGATCGTCACAATCTATTGCACTTCCTTGAAGATGAAAAGTATGAAGAGGTTATGGCTGTCCTTGGGAGTTTCCCATATGTGACCATGGACATAAAATCACAGGGTAAGTGGGAGGTTTCCCATTGCTTCCCTTTTGATAGATTGGCTTTTGTTTATTTGGCTCAAGGCCCTCAAAACACTTCATTTAATAACTTTTAATTAGACTTTGCAGAACTGTAGTTTACCTGTCAGATTTGCTGTGATGGAAGATGTTGTATACTTATTAGTTTTGAGAACCCTACTTTTATTATCCTCCTAATGGGCTTAGGTTTGAGGATGCTTCTGTTCTGCAGTTCAGCTTTCAAGAAGATCTTAACTTTTCAAAGAATGAAAGAGATTTCTAGATGTAATGAAGGATATTTGAAATATATCTATTGTTAGTATAAAATACCTGCTTAGTTCTAAAATTAATTTTTAAAAAACCTTATTTGTTTATATTAATTAAATCTTGAAAATCACCATGTTCTGTGCCACATTTCATGTGTTTTTCTTGACTTACTTCTGTCTTTGTCTGCTTGAAGTGAAAAAAAATAGAGATTATTTTTCTACCTACATAATTGTCCTGTGAGTTCCCATTTTAGAGCCGAATATAGTATCTTAGAATGGTGAAAGAATTAGAGATTATTCTGCTCCATTCCTTCATTGTGACATTGTTCTGAGCTTTGACATTTGCTAAGTTGCCATTGTGAAAACATTCTTGTGGGACCAAGAATACAAGGATGTGTTAGGAATGGTTTCTGTTTTTAAAGGGCTTGTAGTTAAGTTTATTTTATTGTTGGACTTTTGGGGATGTGTGTGGCAAATGTGGTTTTAAAAAATTAAACAATTGCAAAAAATGTTTTTAAAGTGTTTTCTAATATAAACAATATTTTCAAGTTCTTGCCTTAAAATATCTTTACTGTTGCTCAGAATACTAGTTTTAATTATTTTATTCTTACAGGCACTCATTTGTTCATATAGGTAAGATCTTGTGAGTATAAAGTTTGCACAATTTAATAGAGTGACAGAATCCTATTTTTATATCACTGTGAGAGAAAGCTGTTGTAGTCCTAACATACTCTGTTTTAAAAGACTTGGGTTTGAAACTTGGCAGTGTCGATATAGCCATTTTGTGACCTTGGGCATTTTACTTTATTTCTGAACCTCAGTATCTTCTTTAAAGAAATAATAATAATGCTTCATAGAGCTGATTTAAGGATTAAATGGGTACATTGTTGAAGGCATCTACTAGAGAGCTTTTTACAGAGTACATAGTCAATAAATTATTTTTTATTTAGTAGGTTTAAAACTCTGTATGTTTGAAACACTGAAATACCAGATTGATTTGAATAAGTTAAGTTTTGCTGTTTGCCTTGACATAGAGCTTGATTTTTATTTATTTATTTTTCTTTTATCTTATAGTATTGGATGATGAAGATAGCAACAACATCACAGTAGGATCCTTAGTTACAGTGTTGGTTAAATTGACAAGGCAAACAATGGCAGTAAGTAGTCTGTAGTTTTATGCTTTAAGAGTTATATGTTAAGGCTTTTATATTCTCTCACTCTAAGTTATACATTCTCAAAGTCAAAACTGTTGTAGATTTGCAAATGTAATTTTGCAGGTTCTGTTAGCTGTTTTGAAATTTTAAATTAATTTTTATAGTTTTCACATTAGTTTTTCACACACACACACAAAGTTGAAAAATACATTAATTCTTCATGTGATGAAGAAGGTAGTGTGGGTATCATTCTTAAATTGTAAAGTGTTATACAGAGATTAATGATTGATTATTGTTGAGAATTTCATTACCTCCTTTTTTTGAATTTTATTTTTTTATACAGCATGTTCTTATTAGTTATCTATTTTATACATATTAGTGTATATATGTGAATCCCGATCTCCCAGTTCATCCCACCACCACCAGCACACCCCCCCCGCCACTTTCCCCCACTTGCTGTCCATACGTTTGTTCTCTACATCTGTGTCTCTATTTCTGCCCTGCAAACCAGTTCATCTGTACCATTTTTCTAGGTTCCACGTATATGCGTTAATATACGATATTTGTTTTTCTCTTTCTGACTTACTTCACTCTGTATGACACTCTCTAGATCCATCCACGTCTCAAAAATGACCCAATTTTGTTCCTTTTTATGGCTGAGTAATATTCCATTGTATCTACGTACCACATCTTCTTTATCCATTCATCTGTCGATGGGCATTTGGGTTGCTTCCATGTGGCTATTGTAAATAGTGCTGCAGTGAACATTGGGGTGGATGTGTCTTTTTGAATTATGGTTTTCTCTGGGTATATGCCCAGTAGTGGGATTGCTGGGTTATATGGTGATTCTATTTTTAGTTTTTTAAGGAACCTCCATACTGTTCTCCATAGTGGCTGTATCAATTTACACCCCCACCAAGAGTGCAAGAGAGTTCCCTTTTCTCAACACCCTCTCCAGCATTTGTTGTTTGTAGATTTTCTGATAATGCCCATTCTTACTGGTGTGAGGTGATACCTCAGTGTAGTTTTGATTTGCCTTTCTCTAATGATGTTGAGCATGTTTTAATGTGCTTCTTGGCCATCTGTATGTTTTCTTTGGAGAAATGTCTGTTTAGGTCTTCTGCCCTTTTTTTTTGCTTGGCGGTATGCGGGCCTCTCACTGTTGTGGCCTCTCCTGTTGCGGAGCACAGGCTCCCGACGCGCAGGCTTAGCGACCATGGCTCACGGGCCTAGCCGCTGTGCGGCATGTGGGATTTTACTGGACCGGGGCATGAACCCGTGTCCCCTGCATTAGCAGGCGGACTCTCAACCACTGCGCTACCAGGGAAGCCCCTGCACATTTTTTGATTGGGTTGTTTGTTTTTTAATATTGAGCTGCATGAGCTGTTTATATACTTTGGAGATTAATCCTTTGTCTGTTGATTCATTTGCAAATATTTTCTCCCATTCTGAGGGTTGTCTTTTCGTCTTGTTTGTAGTTTCCTTTGCTTTGCAAAAGATTTTAAGTTTCATTAGGTCCCATTTGTTTATTTTTGTTTTTATTTCCATTACTCTAGGAGGTGAATCAAAAAAGATCTTGCTGTGATTTATGTCAAAGAGTGTTCTTCCTATGTTTTCCTCTAAGAGTTTTATAGTGTCTGGTCTTACATTTAGGTTTTGAATCGATTTTGAGTTTATTTTTGTGTATGGTGTTAGGGAGTGTTCTAATTTCATTCTTCTACGTGTAGCTGTCCAGTTTTCCCAGCACCACTTATTGAAGTGACTGTCTTTTCTCCATTGTATATCCTTGCCTCGTTTGTCATAGATTAGTTGACTATAGGTGCGTGGGTTTATCTCTGCACTTTCTATCCTGTTCCATTGATATATATTTCTGTTTTTGTGCCAGTACCATATTGTCTTGATTACTGTAGCTTTGTAGTACAGGCTGAAGTCAGGGAATCTGATTCCTCCAGCTCCATTTTTTTCCCTCAAGACTGCTCTGGCTGTTTGGGGTCTTTTGTGTCTCCATACAAATTTTAAGATTTTTTTGTTCTAGTTCTGTAAAAAATGCCACTGGTAATTTAATAGGGATTACATTGAATCTGTAGATTGCTTTGGGGAATATAGTCATTTCCACAATATTGATTCTTCCAATCCAAGGACATGGTATCTCTCTCCATTTGATTGTGTCATCTTTGATTTCTTTCATCAGTGTCTTATAGTTTTCTGAGTACAGGTACAGGTGTTTTGTCTCCCTAGGTAGGTTTATTCCTAGGTATTTTATTCTTTTTGTTGCAGTGGTAAATGGGATTGTTTCCTTAATTTCTCTTTCTGATCTTTTGTTGTTAGTGTATAGGAATGCAAGAGATTTCTGTGCATTAATTTTGTATCCTGCAACTTTACCAATTTCATTGATTAGCTCTAGCAGTTTTCTGGTGGCATCTTTAGGATTCTCTATGTATAGTATCATGTCATCTGCAAATAGTGACAGTTTTACTTCTTCTTTTCCAATTTGTATTCCTTTTATTCCTTTTTCTTCTCTGATTGCCGTGGCTAGGACTTCCAAAACTATTTTGAATAATAGTGGCGAGAGTGGACATCCTTGTCTCGTTCATGATCTTAGAGGAAATGCTTTCAGTTTTTCAGCATTGAGAATGATGTTTGCTGTGGGTTTGTCATATATGGCCTTTATTATGTTGAGGTAGGTTCCCTCTGTGCCCACTTTCTGGAGAGTTTTTATCATAAATGGGTGTTGAATTTTGTCAAAAGCTTTTTCAGCATCTATTGAGATGATCATATGGTTTTTATTCTTCAGTTTGTTAATATGGTGTATCACATTGATTGATTTGCATAGATTGAAGAATCCTTGCATCCCTGGGATAAATCCCACTTGTTCGTAGTGTATGATCCTTTTAATGTGTTGTTGGATTCTGTTTGCCAGTATTTTGTTGAGGATTTTTACATCTATATTCATCACTCATACTGGTCTGTAATTTTTTTGTAGTATCTTTGTCTGGTTTTGGTATCAGGGTGATGGTGGCCTCATAGAATGAGTTTGGGAGTGTTCCTTCCTCTGCAATTTTTTGGAAGAGTTTGAGAAGGATGGGTGTTTAGCTGTTCTCTAAATGTTTAATAGAATTCACCTGTGAAGCCATCTGGTCCTGGACTTTTGTTTGTTGGAAGATTTTTAATCACAGTTTCAATTTCATTACTTGTGATTGGTATGTTCATATTTTCTATGTCTTCCTGGTTCAGTCTTGGAAGATTATACCTTTCTAAGAATTTGTCCATTTCTTCCAGGTTGTCCATTTTATTGGCATAGAGTTGCTTGTAGTAGTTTCTTAGGATGCTTTGTATTTCTGAGGTGTCCGTTGTAACTTCTCCTTTTTCATTTGTAATTTTACTGATTTGAGTCCTCTCCCTCTTGATGAGTCTGGCTAATGGTTTATCAATTTTGTTTACCTTCTCAAAGAACCAGCTTTTAGTTTTATTGATCTTTGCTATTGTTTTCTTTGTTTCTATTTCAGTTATTTCTGCTCTGATCTTTATGATTTCTTTCCTTCTACTAACTTTGGGTTTTCTTTGTTCTTTTTTCTCTAGTTCCTTTAGGTGTAAGGTTAGATTGTTTATTTGAGATTTTTCTTGTTTCTTGAGGTAGGCTTGTCTTGCTATAAACTTCCCTCTTAGAACTGCTTTTGCTGCGTCCCACAGGTTTTGGATCATCGTGTTTTCATTGTCATCTGTCTCTAGGTATTTTTTGATTTCCTCTTTGATTTCTTCGGTGATCTCTTGGTTATTTAGTAACGTATTGTTTAACCTCTACGTGTTTGTGTTTTTTACGTTTTTTTCCCTGTTATGGATTTCTAATCTCAAAGCATTGTGGTCAGAAAAGATGCTTGATATGATTTCAATTTTCTTAAATTTACTGAGGCTTGATTTATGACCCAAGATGTGATCTATCCTGGAGAATGTTCCGTGTGCACTTGAGAAGAAAGTGTAATCTGCTGTTTTTGGATGGATTGTCCCATAAATATCAATTAAATCTATCTGGACTATTGTGTCATTTAAAGCTTGTGTTTCCTTATTAATTTTCTGTTTGGATGATCTGTCCATTGATGTAAGTGAGGTGTTAAAGTCCCCCACTGTTACTGTGTTACTGTCGATTTCCTCTTTTATAGCTGTTAGCAGTTGCCTTATGTATTGAGGTTCTCCTATGTTGGATGCATATATAATTGTTATATCTTCTTCTTGGATTGATCCCTTGAGCATTATGTAGTGTCCTTCCTTGTCTCTTGTAACATTGTTTATTTTAAAGTCTATTTTATCCGATATGAGTATTGCTACTCCAGCTTTCTTTTGATTTCCATTTGCATATCTTTTTCCATCCCCTCACTTTCAGTCTGTATGCATCCCTAGGTCTGAAGTGGGTCTCTTGTAGACCGCACATATATGAGTCCTGTTTTTGTATCCATTCAGCGAGCCTATGTCTTTTGGTTGGAGCATTTAGTCCATTCACGTTTAAGGTAATTATCGATATGTATGTTCCTCTGACCATTTTCTTAATTGTTTTGGGTTTGTTTTTGTAGGTCCTTTTCTTCTCTTGTGTTTCCCACTTAGAGAAGTTCCTTTAGCATTTGTTGTAGAGATGGTTTGGTGGTGCTGAATTCTCTTAGCTTTTGCTTATCTGTAAAGCTTTTGATTTCTCTGTTGAATCTGAATGAGATCCTTGCTGGGTAGAGTCATCTTGGTTGTAAGTTCTTCCCGTTTATCACGTTAAATATATATCATGGCACTCCCTTCTGGCTTGTAGAGTTTCTGCTGAGAAATCAGCTGTTAACCTTATGGGAGTTCCCTTGTATGTTATTTGTCATTTTCCCCTTGTTGCTTTCAGTAATTTTTCTTTGTCTTTCATTTTCGTCAATTTGATTACTTTGTGTCTCGGTGTGTTTCTCCTTGGGTTTATCCTGCCTGGGACTCTCTGCGCTTCCTGGACTTCGGTGGGTATTTCCTTTCCCACATTAGGGAAGTTTTCAACTATAATCTGTTCAAATATTTTCTTGAGTCCTTTCTCTCTCTCTTCTCCTTCTGGGACCCCTGTAATGTGAATGTTGTCACATTTAATGTTGTCCCACAGGTCTCTTAGGCTGTCTTTATTCCTTTTCATTCTTTTTTCTTTGTCTGTTTCATGGCAGTGAATTCCACCATTCTGTCTTCCAGGTCACTTATCCGTTCTTCTGCCTCAGTTATTCTGCTATTAATTCCTTCAAGTGTATTTTTCATTTCAGTTATTGTATTGTTCATCTCTGTTTGTTCTTTAATTCTTCTAGGTGTTTGCTCTTTAGTTCTTCTGGGTCTTTGTTAAACATTTCTTGCATCTGCCCAATCTTTGCCTCCATTCTTTGTCCGAAGTCCTGGATCATCTTCACTATCATTATTCTGAATTCTTTTTCTGGAAGGTTGCCTATCTCCACTTTATTTAGTTGTTTTTCTGGGGTTTAATCTTGTTCCTTCATGTGGTACAAAGTCCTCTGCCTTTTCATTTTGTCTGTCTTACTGTGAATGTGGTTTTCCTTCCACAGGCTGCAGCATTGTAGTTCTTCTTGCTTCTGCTGTCTGCCCTCTACCTGCTTCTTTTTAGTCAATTCTTGAGAACGTACTCCCTTTTATTTTTATTTTGAAAAGTAAAGTAAAATTAGCTTTTTTCCCCTAATTATGTGAAAAATTCATGCTGTGTGGGGAAAAAAATTTAGGCAATGCAGAAAAGTATAGGAAGAAATTAAAATCACCTAAAATTCTACCACTCTGAGATCATCAGTTTTGAAGCTCATACCTTTAGCTAGCCTAAAGCATGAATACCCACAGAGTTAAATGATATTTTTATCATGAATCCCTTATCTCACTCCTCCTCCCTCAGGAAACCTCCTTGTCATACCCAGATGACCAGAATTCAGTCTTGTGTAAATCTTTTTGTATCTTTCTCCATGCTCATGTTTACTATCTGGACCTTTTCAGTGCATATATGTACGTGCATGTATATGTATACTGGTAGTTTTCTCATTCTTTTTCATTAAATCCAGTCATAATGTATATGTTTCCTGCATCTTGTTTTTCTCAGTTTCTGTTACATGTTTATATTACCTCCCAAGCCAAGTATAACTCCCAAGTTTCAACTACAGTTGTAACTCATTTTTAATACACTGTAGTATTTCAGCTCAGTTTTATTCAGCCAGTGGTAGATTTTAGCCTATTCTACTCTGAGATCTATTGGCATCTGTAGGAAACCTATGCTATCTTTGTTTTGTTTTGTTTTTGTTTTGTTTTGTGTGTGTTTTTTGCGGTATGCGGGCCTCTTACTGTTGTGGCCTCTCCCGTAGCGGAGCACAGGCTCCAGACGCGCAGGCCCAGCAGCCATGGCTCACGGGCCTAGCCGCTCCGCAGCATGTGGGATCCTCCCGGACTGGGTCACGAACCCGTGTCCCCTGCATCGGCAGGCGGACTCTCAACCACTACGCCACCAGGGAAGCCCACCTATGCTACCTTTAAAACCCATGTCTAGAACCTCTGGTAGGAAAAGCATATTTTGTAGTAGGACATATCAAATCAAAGATACTGATTTTATGGTAGCAAGTGGTAAGGAAGCATTTGTATCATGACTCTGGATGAGAGGTGCCTCCTGGGAGAAGAGGAAGCTCTAAGCCAGTGGCCAGGATTGGGTTTAGAATCTAGACTTACACTGCCTACAGGCTTTGAAATTCCCAGCCTGAGAAATGAGCACAAAATTGGCCTTGGGCTGTTGACACTTGTCAGGTAATTAGTAAAAGAAAAAGCAAAAGTGCCCTGGAGGAAGGGAAAGAATCAAGTATTTATCTTTCAGTTCTTGCATCAGTTGTATCTCAGCATAATTAAGCATTCGAACCCAACTAATAAGTGAAGAAATGAAGTAGAGATGATAGAATTAGGCTAGAGGCTGGCAGACTTTTTCTATAAATGTCCAGTTATTAAATAATATGTTCAGGACTTCCCTGGTGGTACAGTGGTTAAGAATTCACCTGGTAATGCAGGGGAAATGGGTTTGAGCCCTGGTCCAGGAAGATCCCACATGCCGCGAAGCAAATAAGCCCGTGAGCCACAACTACTGAGCCTGCGCTTTAGAGCCCGCGAGCCACAACTACTGAAGCCCGTGCACCTCGAGCCCATGGTCCACAACAAAAGAAGCCACAGCAATGAGAAGCCCGCGCACCAAAACAAAAAGTAGCCCCCACCTACCGCATCTAGAGAAAGCCTGCGCATAGCAATGAAGACCCAACGCAGCCAAAAATAAATTAATTAATTAAAAAAAATTGATATGTTCGGTTTTTACAGGCCATACAGTCTCTGTAGCAACTGCTGAACTCACAAATGGGCATAGTTGTGTTCTAATAAAACTTGGTTTAAAAAGCAGTGAGCCATAGTTTGCTGACTGATGCATTAGGCCAACAGTTTGAGCCCAACAGTTATTGTTTTCACTTGTTAGTTTTAATAATTCTAGGGAGTTTATGAAACACAACCCATATCACTTGTCATCTTCTAGTATAGATTCTCGCTAAATTCTTACTGGGTTTCAAATCCTAAATTTATGGCTTCTGCACTGATTCTAAATGGATTATTTGGTGGGTGGGTATGTCTTTAGGATATGTAGATTTGGTGTTCCACTTCTTAGTTATATCTAAGTTATATCAGTTATATCAGCAATATCACTTAAAATCATAAATAAACTAATATTGGTCTCATGAAGTTTTAATATTAGAGAATAATGTAATATATTCAAATTCTCATTAACTTTAAAATAGTCATGTCTTATTACTATTAGAATAAAAGTAAAAATTTAAATTATGAAATATGACTGACTTATCATGAGTTTACATATTTTAAGGCATTGCATTTATAAATTTAAGTAGAATGTACTTCTCAAAATATATTCAAGACAGATGTGAGATATTTCAGAAGGTAACTTCTAAAGCGTCATTTAGTGATTTCTAAATTTGCACACATACATCATTTAGTAATTGCTTCGAGTCTCCTGTCTATCCATGGTTTTGTCCCCACCCCCTGCAATTGTCAGCAGTTAAAAAACTTACTGATAATATATATTGAAAGATTGCTTTATCGGAAAGATAAATATAGATTGACAGACTTTATATTTTTCTTCTCGCTACCTGTAGGAAGTATTTGAAAAGGAGCAGTCCATCTGTGCTGCAGAGGAACAGCCAGCAGAAGATGGGGTAAAAACTTCAGTTTTCCTATCTTTCTTTCATGGTGAAATAACTGTTTTGTTTAGTTCTCTGATTGATTTATATTGCTGTGGGAGAGTAATTCACTTTACTACAACATTTATTAGTTTAGTCAGTTCCATCAAATTTACTATGACTTCCAAATGAAACTAGTGCTACAGCTTCTGAGTGTGCATGTGTGTTGTGATTTACAGCAGGGTGATACTAGCAAGAACAGAACAAAAGGAGGATGGCAACAGAAGAGTAAAGGACCCAAGAAAACTGCTAAATCAAAAAAAAAGAAACCTTTAAAAAAAAAACCTACACCTGTGCCCTTATCACAACCAAAGCAACAGAAACAAAAGCAGGCTAATGGAGTCGTTGGGAGTGTAAGTTTATTATCTTATGTAAAGATTATTGTTATTATCATCTTTATTGAGGTCTAACATACACTAAAATGTTCAAATCTTTTTTTTTTTTTTTTTTTGCGGTACGCGGGCCTCTCACTGTTGTGGCCTCTCCCGTTGCTGAGCCCAGGCTCCGGAGGCGCAGGCTCAGCGGCCATGGCTCACGGGCCTAGCCGCTCCGTGGCATGTGGGATCTTCCTGGACTGGGGCATGAACCCGTGTCCCCTGCATTGGCAGGCGGACTCTCAACCACTGAGCCACCAGGGAAGCCCCTAAAATGTTCAAATCTTATGTGTACAGCTCCTGAAGTTTTATAATTGTGTGTACCCATGATACCCAGATCAAGATATAAAACCTTACCAGCACCCTAAAAGGCTCTCTTGTACCGTTCTCAGTCAGTGACCCCTCCATCCACCCCCACGGCCTTCCCCACTATTCTGACTGTTAGGACCATAGTTTAGTTTTGCCTGTTCTTAAAATTCCTGTAAGTGGAATTGTTTGGCTGCTTTCATTCAACATAGTGTCTTTGACATTCATCTGTACAGTGTGTAGCAGCAGCTGTGTGTGTGTGTGTGTGTGTGTGTGTGAGAGAGAGAGAGAGAGAGAGAGAGAGATTCCATTATATGAATATACCACAATTTATCTGTTCTGTGATTGGTGAACATTATGGGTTTTTCTAGTTTTTGCCTATTCTGAATAAAGATGTTCTGCTTTTGTACATGTCATTTTGTGGACATTCATTTTTTTTGGGTATGTACCTAGCAGTGGAATTGCTGGGTCATAAAATAGGTGTATGTTTAACTTGTTGAAAGAGCCCATTTTCTAAAGTTGTACCATTTTTTGGTCCTACCAGCAAAATATGAGTCCCGTTCCACCCTCACCAATACTTGGTTTTACCATTCTTTTTTATTTTAGCCACTGTGATGGATTTGTGGTGGTATCTGTGTGTGTGTGTGTGTGTGTGTGTGTGTGTGTGTGTGTGTGTGTGTGTGTTTCCTGTGTGTGGTTTTATTTACCTGATGACTAATGATATTGAGCACCTTTTCATGTACATACTGGCCATTTGGATATGCTCTTTTATTTTGGGGTTGTTTTTCTTCTTATGGATTTGTAGGATTCCTTTATGTATTCTGGATATGAGTCCCTTTTAGCTCTCTTAATGGAGCTTTTGATGGTTCTTAATTTTAATAAAGTCTGTTTCATCAGTCTTTATGGTTAGTGCTTCTGTGTCCTGTTAGAGACATCTTTGCCTGTCCCAAGGACACAAGGAACGAAAGATATTTTTGTTTTCTTCTATGAGTATTATTATTTTACTTGTTAAATTTAGCTCTGTGTTATATCTTAAATTTTTGTGAATAGTGTGAGATTGGGATTATGGACCACTTATTTTAGCACCATTTATTGGAAAGATCATTCTTTCCTCTCTGAATTGCAATAGTGATTTGTTGTAAAAAAGTTGCCATTAAGTGTATATGTGCAAATCTCTTTATGGACTTTCTAGTCCATTCCATTGATTATTTGTCTCTTCTTGTGCCAGTACCACACTGTCTTAATTATTGTGGCTTTATTTTAACTCTTAAAATATGGTCATGTAAGTCCTCAGACTCTTATTTTACTTCTTCAAAATTGTCTTGACTATTTTAGGTCCTTTGCATTTCCAGCTAAAATTTTAGAATAAGCTTGAGAATTTCCACCCAAAAAAAGCTGCTGGAATTTAGATTGGTATTGTGCTTACTGTGTGGTTCAGTATGGGAAGAATTCACAGGTTAACAGTATTGACTCTTTTTATTCATAATTATGCTTTATCTTTATTAACTGGATCTTCCTTAATTTTTCTCAGCAGTGTTTTGTGATTTCCATTGGCAGAGGATATGACAAATCTTTCATTAGATTTACTCCTGTGTGTTTGATCCTTTCTAGTGCTATTGCAAATAACATTAAAAAAAAATTCATTCTTCAGTGTTTATTGCTGGTGTATAGAAGTGTAGTTGCCTTCTAAATATTTACCTTATATCAAGGATTCTTGATGAATTGACAGTAATTCTAACTATTTGTAGATATTTAAAGAAAAAGATTTTCTACATACACAATCATACCATCTGGGAATAAAGACAGCTTTACTTTAATCTTTATGTGGTTTCTTCCTTTCTGCCTTACTGAACTGGCTAGAACTTTCAATGTAATGTTGACTAGAAGTAGAAGTGAAGATGGCAGTCACCCTTTTCTTATTGTTGATCTCATGGAGAAAGCAAACATTATTTCACCACTAAGTATGACGTTAGGTGTAGGGTTTTTATAGATATTCTCTATCAGATTAAGGAGGTGTTCCCTCTATTCCCAGTTTGGTTTTTTATCATGACATGATTGTATGATTTTTCTCCTTTCTGTTAATGTGACTAATTATACTGATGAATTAAAAAAATTTAAACTGTCCTTGTATTCCTGGAACAAATCTCATTTGCTCATAACATAGTATTTTTTAAATATTTATCTGGATTTAGTAATATTTTGTTTACAATTCCTGCATCTGTTTTTATGAGAGAATATTGGTTTGTCATTCTTCTTTCTTGTAATATTCTTGTGAGGTTTTGGATCACGTTTATGCTGGCCTCATTAAACAAGTTAGGGATTATTCTCGCTTTCTTTTTCCTGGAAGGGTGTATAAGACTGGGTTGTTTCTTATTTGGAAGAATTACGTAGAGAAGCCATATGGGCTTGGAGTTTGAAAAAGGATTTAATTGTAGAGTCCATTTATTTAACATATTCCACTTTTTTTCTTATATCAGTTTTAGTAAATTGTGTTTTTCAAGGACTTTGTCCATTTCCTCTAAGTTGTCAAATTTATTGACAAAGTTATTCATAATATCCTTATTTTTAATGTCTTTTGGATCTGTAGTTATGTCTCTTTTATTCCTGATATTGGTAATCTGTATTGTCTCTTTTTTCTTTGATCAGTCTTGCCTAATAAAATTTATCAATTTTATTAATCTTTTTAAAGAACCAATGTTTGGTTTTGTTTGGGTTTCCCTTTTGCATATCTGCTTTCTCTTTAATTGATTTCTGATCTGTATTATTCACTCCTACTTTCTTTGCATTTAATTTGCTATTCTTTTTCTTGCTTCTTGAAATGGATTTTGTCTGGGACAGTGACTTTCCTTACTGCATTATACTCCTTATTGAAGATGATATTAAATTCCCAAAGCAGTACTATAAACTTCTCATTTCTCCTTCTCAAATAAAATATATTGTATAATTGGTGTTTGTGAAAGATGAGCCATCTTAGCCATTGTGGTAGTATATTTTGCGAATAGAAATAAAATATTTTTGTTTTACAAACTATGAAGACTGAATAAAATAACTGACAAAAAGACAAATAAGCCAAATGTTAAAAGTCTTCAGTCTGACTCCCACATATTTATACATAAAAATGTTTATAGTTCTCTAAAGTTCTGCATGAATAGTGAAATTGTAATCTTGAGCCAGTTTAATTATAATGACAGTAAATTAGTTTCAGGGACTCAGAATGCTATATTCATTGAGATATTCAGAGCTTTTGTGGTTGCTTTTTCCTTTTAGGAGGCTGCAGTAAAGGAAGATGAAGAAGAAGTTTCTGACAAAGGCAGCGACTCTGAGGAAGAAGAAACCAATAGAGACTCTCAAAGCGAAAAAGATGATGGTAGTGACAGAGACTCTGATAGAGAGCAAGATGAAAAACAAAACAGGGATGATGAAGCAGTAAGACTTATAAGTTTAAATAATTGGAATTATACCTCTGATGATAGTTTTGGTTTCTGTTGTTGTTTTTCCTTTGCTTGCTTACTTTTTTTGCTTGTCTTAAGCAATACCAGTGTATTTTATAATCTTCTATTACTTTTACGGAATGTTTTTGAGGGATGGTAGTTGTAATTATAAAGAAAAATTATTTCTAACAAGATTGGAAATCCTAATTTTCTTAAATCTTAAATTGTTAGATGGGGTAGGACCTGGGTCTGAGGTGAAGTCAGTTTGTTCTCTTAAGGCAATTTTCTGTGTTATCTGGAAATATGAGTAAGGAAAGGTGGATTATGAAATAGGTAGCAGTTTCTTGGAAGAGGATCTCAAAAGTTCCAGGAAATGTTTAGGGTGAAGAAACATTACTGTGGGCTGTAACGCCAAGAAGTTGGTTAAGGTAAAAGCTAACATTTACGGAATGCCACCTCGTTTCAAGAGGTATATAAGACATTAAGGAAAGGGCTGTCACTAAGGAATTAAGATTGTGAGGGTAAAGGGAATAGAAAAAAATCTCATGGCATGGCATTAAGTTGCACATGATTTATGAGAAAGCTGTAGAAAAGAATATTTGGTGGACAAATAACAGTCCTTAGAGGCTCACTGTAAATTAACTGTAACCTGATCAGCCATTTTCTTTATGTTTGTGGTGTTCTTGACTGGACCATTGATCTAAAAGTAACCCTTATGGTTTAGGAATTTAAAAGAGATTCCCTGAATAGCCTCTGAAGCAAAAGCAGAGACCAGAAAAGGAAAAAGTAAAAGGGCAAAGGATAAAGGTATATAGAAATAATGTACTTGCCCTTGGGAATGGTGGGAGAAAAATAAGGATGACTGTTTTTAGCAGTTGCTGGCCCTTGAGTATTTTTGTACTTTGAGAATTAAGTTGATTGCCAGGAAATTAAAACCAATCAAAGAAATTATTCCCCCCACCCTTGTTTTGAGAAAGAGTTGACATATTTCTTTCTGACTGTATTAGGGTTAGTAGAGGTGACTAGGTTAGTAGTGTTTTGATAAACTAGTTTCTTCAGATGACCAAAAAATATGTTCATTCAATTGACAAGTTATTATACAAATAACAAATAATTACTCATTGTCTGTGACACTGCAAGCACTGTGTTAGATGATAGGAATGCAAAGCCAAATGTACAATAGTTTCTGCCCTTGAATGATAGTAGCCTGATGGAGAAGGCAGACTTGTAAGTAAACATTATAGTACCAAAGAGACTATGCACGTTGTGCAAGGGGCAGTGATGGCACAAAGGAAGGAGTGATCAACTCAGCTTTGTGGTAGAGGACGATTTGTGGGACTCAGGAACTCATACTTTAGACTTTAGCTGCTCCTGAAAGAATAATGAGTAGGAATTTAACAGGTAGAGAAAAAAGAAAACAAAAATTTAAATAGGGTTTAGGAGGAGTGAAATAGCTGGTGAGGTCAGAGAAGGCTAGGTGGTTGGAAATGACTAGAAGAAAAAGTGCAGGGAGGAAAACAGTGACAGGAGACTGGAGAGACAGGTCCAGATCAGGTCATGATTGGCTGTGTAGTTCATACTAGACGGGTTAGAGTTGATTTATGAAAAGAAGCATTGTAAGTCTGGGGCAGGGAAATGATCAGATTTGTGGGACTGAACTCAGTAGTAGTTAGCATTGTCAGGAATAACATCGGAAGAAGACGGACACCCCTCAAAATGATTGAAAACATGCTTGATTTCAAAGATTTAATTTTCACTTTACAGGAGTGGCAAGAATTACAACAAAGTATACAGCGAAAGGAGCGAGCTCTGCTGGAAACCAAATCAAAGATAACACATCCTATTTATAGTCTTTACTTTCCTGAGGTGAGTTATACACAGCCTAGTGTTTTCCTTATTCTATTCAGATATTTCTTAGTTGCTTTTTATCTCTCTGTGGTGTGTATTGGCTCAAATGTGCTGAATGTGGTCTATTCTTGATAGACCACATTTTTGAAACCTACATTTCAACGTAAATCATTTTTAGTGAATGTGTTGTTTAAAAGGAGGGTTGTTAACTTTTTAAGTACTTCTGTCTTTTCTGCGCCCAGATTACTGAGAGTTGTGCTTAATGATGATTTTTCATTAGCAGTTCAGGCAGTCCTAGTTGGACAAATGCATATTTTGCCTATGACTGTATGGCTGTTATGAATCTCACAATTCTGTCATGTTTTAAATAGGATGAAAACGTTCTTAAATTTTCCCCATGGTTTTTCTCTGAGGGTTCTCTACTGGCCACCTGTAGCCACTAGACTTGCTCCGATAATTGCCCTGGCCCATGGAAAGAGGCAAGCCCATGGCTGAGGGACCCACTAAGTTCAGTAGGAGCCGAGCCCCAAGCTCAGGACAGATCATTGCAGTGCTGTTTGTTCCCTTGTGCTTGTTTACGTTGTGACTGTGGCCTGTTCAACTTTTGATCTCTTTGATACGCTATGTTGTTTGTCTTTCAGATGAATTTGGGATCTGCTTGATGTATTGCATTTGTGGATGATTTTGTCTGTGGCTAGAGATCAAGGACTGGTTGCCTCTTAGTTTAGCAAAGCTGTTCCGTAGACTGCCTTGTAGCTTTGCCACAGAACCTTGTGCTTACCACTCATGTTTGGCAGGTGATTTCATGTATAAATCTGCTTTCTGCTCTAGAACATCAATCTCTAGTTGCTGGGGGCTGCTGAAGGCAAATTCCTAAGTGATTTGGCTCTTCTAATAATAAATGAGTGGCTCTGCACAGACTTTTGTTTTGACTTGGAGAGAAGTCAGCCCAGGATTCCATCTTACTGTGTGCACTGATCTTCTGGCATGTCCTGAGCTATATAGCCCATCTGTTAGGGGCATTTTGCCCATTGCAGTGTAGTCTGCCAACACCAAAGCTCCTGAAATCAAGCGAATAAATTCCACTCATTGATTGGTTTTAAAAGTACCATGGGGGCTTCCCTGGTGGCGCAGTGGTTGAGAGTCTGCCTGCCGATGCTGGGGACACGGGTTCGTGCCCCGGTCTGGGAAGATCCCACAAGATCCCAGCTGAGCAGCTGGGCCCGTGAGCCATGGCCGCTGAGCCTGCGCGTCCAGAGCCTGTGCTCCGCAACGGGAGAGGCCACAACAGTGAGAGGCCTGCGTACCGCAAAAAAAAAAAAAAAAAGTACCATGGGATGCTGTAAGCTGCATAATTTGTACCCTTATAATAGACAGCTTCATTTTAGGCCATGCTTAGTTAATAAGCAAAGCATTCATTTACTCCCTTAGAACATTTTAGCAGTGAAAATGCCTTCTTGTAATTTCATCTACATGGTAAATATCTCAAAGTGTCATTTATCAGATAAACTTTATTTAGGATTTTCCTAACATCTACCTGTCTACCTTCCCATGTACCTACCTAACCACCATACTACCCACTTAAATTACTTAAAGTTTTATGTTAATATTTGACTTACATGTTAATTGCAGCTCATATGTTTAATAAGTTAAGAATGGTTGGGAATCTCACACAACAGAAACAGTTTTGTTTAAAGAGCAAATAACTCATGGTAGAACATCTTTTCCACTTTCACCATGTGCATCAAGAGAGCGTGGGTGCAGTGCCATAGATTGATAGTCACTAGCTTCTTTTTTTTTTACACAACAGATCTGCTCTTTTTTTTTTTTTAATTTTCTTTTATTTATTTATTTATTTAGGCTGCATTGGGTCTTTGTTGCTGTACGCGGGCTTTCTCTAGTTGCGGCGAGCAGGGACTACTCTCCGTTGAGTTGCATGGGCTTCTCATTGCTGTGGCTTCCCTTGATGTCGAGAACGAGCTCTAGACACGCGGTCCTCAGTAGTTGTGGCTCGCGGGCTCTAGAGTGCAGGCTCAGTAGTTGTGGCTCGCGGGCTCTAGAGTGCAGGCTCAGTAGTTGTGGCACATGGGCTTAGTTGCTCCACCGCATGTGGGATTTTCCCAGACCAGGGCTCAAACCTGTGTCCCCTGCACTGGCAGGTGGATTCTTCCTTCCTTCCTTCCTTCCTTCCTTCCTTCCTTCCTTCCTTCCTTCCTTCCT